GTATACATGACCTGCGGGGGAAGGATGCACCTGCTTCACCTCTCACTGAACCTCCGCAGGTGCAAACATCGTTTACACTTCATTGGGAACTTCACCGTCCTGCTGCTGCTCCCCGCAGTCCTCATTTTTTTTCTTCATCGGCGTGGCACGCACTGCAGTTGGGGAGTGTGATCGACAGCAGCAAACACTGAGGCCATCGCGACCTCCGCGCGGAAATTAATACAAAGGCAATTGATATAAGAAAAGCAAGGGGCATCCAAAAACGAAAGTGGATGGCGCCGACCCCTGAAGGGGGAGAGAGAGCGCGTGCATCCACGCACAGAAAGAAAAGAAAGGGAAATAATACATGAACGCATCAAACCCCCACGAAGGACGCACACATTATTTTCGCCTGTGTGGACGGGCCGCACACGTTCCCAGTGGAAGCCGGAGTAGCGCTTTATTTGGCTCAGTAAAACGCCGCAAGCCCCCACAGCCCCAGAAGCAGCAAGAGCACGCGAGACCCATGCGCACGTACGGAACTCTCATCTTTATTGGCGCCTGACCCAGCACCGTTGTTGGGTATCTCGGATTCAATGATATGCAGTGGGCGACTCATCAGAAAGACGTTCTTCACGGTCACGCTGCCGTCAACGCCACTCATGCCGTCGTCCGCCCCAAAGTAGAAGTGTACGATCTCCTCCCCATCCTTCTTCGCCAGCGCCGCGGCATCCGCACCCGCAAGCTTCAGTGCCTCGCCGTTGACGAAGAATAAAAACCTGCCGTACTCGAGTGTAAGAAGCACGTAGTACTGTTTATTGGGCTCACACGTGGCGCCCTGCGCCACCTTCTCCCCAGTCCGGCTCTTCACCACCCACTTGTTGTCGCCGCTGCACAGCAATCCAAAGCGGTTGCCCGCACTGTCAGTGCCGTTGAGCCGCACACCAAACACAGAGACGCCGCCTTTCGGGTCATTGACGGTCACTGTCGCCAGCAAAATAAAGTAGTAGTTTGCGAAGTGGTACCGCTGGTTCTGCCCCTGCGCGCCCACGGGCCACTCGGCGCGTGAATTGGACCCGCTGAACTCAAAGCCGTTCGTGACCTTCGTCGCGCCGCTCACCGCTGCGTCCACGCCGAGGTACTCGTCGCTCCAGTGGGCGGCGGAGCCCGTATTGGACAAAAACCCAACACTGCGGGCAGAGCCGTCACACGCGACAGCCGCACCCAAGGACGTGCAGAGCTGGGAGAAGTCCTTTTCAAGCTTATCCCACTGCGCCAGCACCTCCTTTATGCGCTCCAGCTGGTCGTCCAGACGCACAAGCACAAAGCGTTGCGTTTTAGCCTCTTTCCGTTCGTAGAGCGAAAACAACTTGTCGTTTGCGTACAGCAGCGTGCTGGAGGTCGCACTGAATTGGCTCTCGGGAGAAATCGGGCCCACGTCGAATATGCGGGCACCATCGGAAAGCCAGAGGTGGATCTGGTTGGCGTACGAATTGCTTTGGGGAAACACCGGGTGCGTGAACAAGAGCGCCCTTTTCCCATTAATCGTCGCAGCCGCAAGGCCGCTCTGGTCGCCGTACCCGGTGCGCTTCGGCGAGTTGCCCCACACGCGCGAGAGTGTCCCGAGGGCCTCCGTCCACGTATCCCCCA